GTCGGGTTGGGTTTCTTGTCGTCGCGCGCCTATGTTCTCAGTAAACGAGTCTCTCTCTCTCTCTCTTCTCTCTCTCTCTCTCTCTCCTGTTGCAGGAGGTGGGTGTGGCCTCCTTGAGTTTATTGTTTTAACTGACCGAGGGACTCCTAGGTTACAGTCCTTTTATGAAAGGTTTTATGAATTATTTTTGTTTTTTAATGGATTGGAGAATAAGTGCTGGTCCTGTGATGTGGTTATAATCTTTGAGACCTGATTTTTCTCGGATGAAATCTTAGCATGACTGAGGACCTCTCTTTTTCCTTTGCTCTATCTGCCATGTCTTTTCTTGAGGTATCTTGAGGCGAGAATTGGGAGTGGCACGATTTGATTTTTCTGGCTTAGTTTATTTTAACTTATTAATATTTTGTTAATATTCATCTATTTCTTTAGGTTCAGGCTTTTGTTGGTTTATTTTTGGCCCTAGGAATTTGGAATTCTCTGAATGAATGATGAGATGCACTGGGCTCTGAGCGATTTTCGCTTGCAAATTGATGGAAATGCATTTGCCTAGAAAGCATTGTCTGACTAATCCACACTTTCTTTGATTCTCCATTTATTTTGAGTTTTCCAAAACAAAATGTCTTTTTTTTTATTGATAAATCTGGGATTTTGGTCGATTATATCATGACTTATTTTTAAAGTCTTGTTTTCTTAAATCTTGGAAAAACGAAAAATATAAGTAAAGTTGGGCATGTTTGGTCTTTTTTTTAAAGTCAATTACTTGCTTAAATAACACAAATCAATCAATTTTTTATCCAAATCAAGTTTGATATCATCATATATTAATTTTTTATGAGATTTGATAAGTTCAATATCATCAAATTTGGATTTTTTATGAGATATAAAGCTCATGAATATACGCCATAAAAACTCAACCGCCCTTCTTTGATTTTCTCCCTCAAATCACAATGAAACAATTTAAGATTGGTTTTAAATTGTTCGTTTTCATCCCACTCATATTGTGATTTGTCGGATCAAAGCCCCTAGTGAAACGAATCTGGAGTTGAAAATTTTGGGTTCTTTTAACCCAAAATTGAGAAATGTCAAATTTTCATACTTTTTTTCACCAAATTTGCAAACTTGTCCAAACATGCAACATTTTTTAATTAAAATAAATTGTATTTAAGATTTATATTTAAGCTTCTCCAAGATAAATCCAATTCTAGGTTTTGATTTTTATCATCTTATTACTTGTTTGGTTTTTTGTTGTCCGAGTCAATCGTGATGAATCTAACTCGCCAATCAGTTCATTTGACTCGGACGTACGAGTTCCTCATGGTTGAGCTCGCTGAACCGGATTTTCAAACATTGGCTAAAATAACATATAATTTCCGTATTACGGGCTTTGGAAGATCAACGGGAAATGCTTAATGGAGAGAGATTAATGGTCCAATGAACCAAGTGGAAAAAATACATATACAAGGAATTCTACTGAAATTTAAAATAACTATAATTTTCCTTGTACTAATCTAATGGGGCT